TATCTTCTCAGAAGAGCTTTTAATAATAAAGTCGAAGCTAACATGGATAAATTGGGGCGAAAAGTGAGGCAAAAGTTCAACCAGATAATCGATTTTTTCCTGTACTTCCTGGGTAGTCGATGATCCAAGATCCTGCAAACAACAACGATTTTAAGGAAATTTCTTTTCAAATGTTCTCTTCATAGAAGAAACAAGCTCGTTAAAATGGTATTGAATTGAATTCTAATTCCAGCAAATTCTTGCAAACTACAATGTTTAGATTTTCTGTTAAGGACAATATCAAAGATGGGCAATATAGGAGACACAATATATTCAGAAAAACTAAATAATCAATTAAATAAAAAGTAAATAACAATTAATAACTTACAACAAGCATACCACGCCTTTTCAATTGTTCCAAAATGTGCGTGATACAATTCCCTCTGATATGTTCAAGGGTAGTATTTATATACATCTTTTGTTCTTCATCACATTGATTAAGAGTTTCCTCGATTGGATAAATAATACTATAGTAAAAAATAAATCTGAAAGATATTGCAGAGTATAACTACACAAAAAATAACGAATTTTTGAAGTACAAAATAAAATTGTAATATACGAACTATAAGATCATTTACAAAGATCATCATGTACATGAGATCATTGTTTCTGTATTGTAAGGTTCATGGATATTTGACAGTTACTGATGAACTTCATAAAACTTTAAATAATTTTTCTAGTTAGTAGAGACAATATCTACCAAAATATCGAAGAAGTAGAAAAATTACTCTTGCTGTTAAAACTTACATTCACCAGAACATATCTAGATTGCAGAAAAAATGTAAATCTTAAAAGAAGCAAAAAAACGAAATTTAAAATCAAAATGTCAATTAATTCATTAAATTTTTGAAACCTTTCATACTGCAAGCAATTACCAATAGCAGCATGTAATTCATCCACTGAAGTAATGCAGCCAATTATAGTGTGAAAAAGAGCATATGCTGAAGCTATTACGTTATCTACCAAGGCTAACATTGCTCTGAAATTGTAAACAAAGATATATCTTGAAATGAGTCTAATTAAATATCAAAAATAACAGAACATTTAGTATGATATATTCATTATTTTTAATAGTAACTATACTGGTAACTGAAGCAATGAAACCCAAATTTCTGAAAATATAAAAGTCTCTTTTCCGAAGGTGATTCAAAACATATAATTTATTTTTATTCAGTTTGCTAACTGGAAAAGCTAAAAACGAATTTACCCAAATGTTTTTCGCAAATCTGTTGCCATATTCATCATTTGCTCTATGCAGTAATGCTCTTCCAAATTCTCCACGAAAAGAGCTATGCTAAATTAGTATACTTTACATCCTCTTCAATTCGAATACCAATTTGCAATGAAATTATTGATTATGCTTTGTGATTAATCGACAAAAATCCAGAATTACAAAAATCACGTATGAAAATTTATGATAATGGAAAATCGACAACTTTTGAAACCTAACTTCTTGGTTGAAATGGATATATTCATCTCAACGAAATATGTGAACAAATGAACGAATACATACCTATTCAAGAAATCACATAAGATCGCTTGTGATAGATGTTTAAACAATAACGATGCAACAACTGTTAATCCTTCAAATCCAACTAAACATTTTTCCAAAAATTTTTCCAATTTATTAACATTGCTTTTAGAAAATGCAACATCATTGTTGCAGTCGATCAATTCCTAAAATATAGGATACTGAATTGACAGTGACAAACAACACCGATTTGATAAAATTCAACACCTATAAATGCTGTGAAATAATGACCGGAAGTACTTGCACTTCCGTCATTATTTTAAATAAAAAATTTCCAGAGCAAGCCTGTCTGTCCCAGAATATTAAGATAAATGTGTATCTTTCACAAATTTAAGAAATTCTAAATTCTCATAAACATCTGAAAAAAATTCAAAGGCAAAGCTTTTTTTTTCGATTTCCAGAAAATTGAAAAAATAAAGGACTGAAATTGGATAACGAGAACATCACAGTAGCGAGAAGCTTGTCAAATTAATGCAATTAAAAAAGGAGGAGTATTTTCAACTTCATGATTATTACAAGGAGCAGGAAAAGGATTAAAAATATTACTTGTCCTATAGTTTCGATAAATGTTTCAACATCCTTTTCTGTAAACTGTTTCGCATCAAATGCTTCTGTGACGATATTTTCGACAGCATTTCGATTTGACGTTTTAAATATTACAATTGCACGAGATAATCTATTTAAATCGAAGAGAACACTTTTCTGATTATTGTTTTTGCCAACAAACTGAATATACAATTTTAAAAAAGAACAAATATTTAATGAATTGAATTAATGCATTTCCTTTGGCAATATTAAACAATTAAAATCAGCAGATTTAAGACACTTATTTAAATAATTATCCCGAAACATTTGATTTCCGAAAAAAGAAATATTATAAGAAGGTGAAAAAATAAAAAAGCCTATTTCCATACCTCTTTAGCAAGCTTCAAGAAAAGCATTAAAATGCTTGTATACATTTCAATAATAACAGCACGAATTTCTTCTCCATGATCCGATTTCAGATTTCGATTTAATGCCATACTTAACATCTCATCTTTTCGCCACTTTCTGAAATTGTTCACAATCAACAAATATAGAAAGAGAAATTTTTAAATAGTTATAAAATTTAACTGAAGTTTAAAAAGCTTTAGAAATTCTACAATTAACACTGATTTCAAAAGTGAATTCTAAACATACGACAAAATGTTGCAGTAAAGAAAACATTAAAAAAGATATGATAGATAATAACAAAATACTTCGGAAAAATATCAAGAAAGTTATCAACAAGCTCTACAATTTGTCGGTCATCACATAATCTGTTCCTCAGAGCTGATTCTGATAATGTTAAAATATTAGTCAATAATTCTACTGCATATCTCCAATCATTGATCCAACTATTAATATCCGTATTAACTTCAAGTCGTTGAAGTAACAATGGAGTCATTGTCTAAAATTGCAAAGAAGCATTGAAATTATGGTAATAGGAATATTACTACCGCAAAAGGCATCCTGAAGTATGGCCTTTCTAAAATTTACTCTTCCCAAAATAATTTACATCATTTCCTAGCAGCTGTTGAAATCTTGCAAAAATTTTAAATCAGGCTCTCATCAGACACCGGAAAAATTTCAAATAACTTTATATGACCATGCGAGACAAACTATATTCTCTTCGTATTCTTAACATCTCCAGAAATCCGAATCAATTAACATTAACCTTATAATGTTTATCGGGATTAATAAATCAAGCAATCAAACATAGCCACCTCTTTTTAACCTTTTTGTTTTTTAACCTTTTTGGAAAATTCAAAAGTCAGAAAATTTGATTTAAAAAATTTTAACAAATATCGTAATACATTGATAACAAGTAAAGTGATTAAATACGTTGATTAAATTTTTATTTTAATTATAACAAGCATCAAAATCATATACAGTAACAAAATTTTCCAATTCAAATTATATCGTTATTTAATTTTAGGTGGCACTCGATCCTAACTGTTAATTATTATTTGCTAATAACTAACTACCCAAAGAAATTTTCAAAATAAATAAGTATAAAAAACTTTGAGCAAAACGGTATCATTCGCAAAATATTACTGATGTAAATGCAGAGAGAGTCCTAAATAACAGCAGAGATGTGAAATGTATTATTTCTAGCCTTATCCAGCTGAAAAAAACAAGTGATATCTGAATTGCATCTCAAATGTTAAATGAATTGTGAGCTTTAACTTCTCAAAATTATTTAATAATCAGTTCGGTGGCCAATTCATCTGAACTTTTTCATGTAAGAATTTTGGAAGCCATTCGAGATATTCATCCAAAAGATATTCACTTTTATTCTTCCAAACTTCCAATAAACGTACTCGACTCGTTACCTGAAAAATGACATATAGCTGAGCAGCTGCAGTAAATTCACTTATTCAAAAAATTTCATTAGAATCCAAATTTCTGAAATTAATAGTATTCTTGCCTCATATTCAATCAATGCATTAAGTAGCTTTTCTGTTCGTATTTGTAATTTTGCCCATGGTTTCGTCATTGTGTTTGGTGAGAGTAGAAGCTTGTCAACATAAGTAGCTAAAGGTGGACAAACTGAACCATCGAGGAAGAATTGGGCAAAATAACGATACAGATTGATATTAACAGGTAATGGTTGTTCAACTTTGCCTAAAGGCCAACGCCTATCACTGAATGTTCCATTCACAAAAGTGAGGACAGTATCTGTGGCTGAATCATATCTGAAAATTACGAAATTTTTAACTTTGTCATCAAACGAATCTTTAGTTTTCAAAATTTGCAAAAATTGCCAAATAAATTCTTTGAATAGATATAAAACAATTTGTGAAAAACTACTCTATTTACCGAGGCTCAGCTTCCTTAATTGGAGTAAAATGGCAATAAGTATTCGCCAAACGAGGTAACCAATGTTCCTCAACACAAATCACATTCTGCATAAATTTTTTATCTTTCCGCTGAAAATTAAACCAACCATTACAAATATAACATTTCAAACCGAATATTAGTGCGAAGTAGAATAAGCTCTCATGAAAAAAACACTGCACACAGAACTTAAAAACGACCAATTGTCATAACTTTGCTCAACAGCTTTCTTAACATAATTAAGTGGACAGTAAACCTCAATGATTTCTTGATACAGCACCCAATCTGGTTCATCTTTGAATAATACAGAACTTGGATCGATGTAAACATAATCCTAAATAAAATCTTGTTGATGTACTTAAAATTTTTTCAACTTTTGGTCATTTGAATAACAATAAATAAGATACATCAGGAAAGTGAACCTTTAATTTTTGAGATTGATATGCGCCCTTGGGTACACTCTGATTCGCTATTGGATCAACTCTTCTGGCTATATTATCAGTAAGTGAAGCAATCACAATTTGCCTGAGATGAAAAAAAATTTCGATAGAATAATTAGTCTTCATGGAGTAAGTTCATATTGGTTCGGAAATTTTTTTTAACTAGATATAAAGTCAAAAACCAAAATATTTTAGTGAGTCAACTTCACTGACCTTAACATTAACGTTTCTTCATCAGTGGGCGGCTTCATATCTAGTTTTACCGTAAATGGTTTATCCTGTGGACATTTTAAATTGATAATTTTAGTCAGCTGCTGACGTAATTTCCGAATTTCAATAAGCGCTTTACGACGAACTCCCAATCGATGACATTCCTCTTCAGATCCAGATCCCTGAAAAAAGCTTCCTGATATAAAACAAGTCAGTATATTAAATTCTTTTTGTAATAAAAGAGTCCAACACACATGTATATATATGTAACAAATTACTGACTTCTGATGCTTCAGCACTCAAAATAGCTCGCAAGATGACAGTCAGATCACCGAAATTCCTCGCTTGACCAGGTGGACACCATGACCGTCTTTGTTTCAATGCTTCGAATATCAAGGCTTGTGTTTCTTCAACATTTTCACCTCTGAAACATAAATATTTATGAATGTTAAAAAATACTTGAATATCTTGTGTAACTTTTTATATTTTATAGATTGTATGGTAAAATAAACCTTAATGAATAAAGAGGAATAAGTGGTTCTCGAACTGACAATGCAGCAACCAAGCAACAAGCATGAGCCATTAAAGAATGTTGATTTGCCATCACAAGTATTTTTGCAAAGGTTGGCGCCAATGGGAAAATAGATAGTGTTTTTCCAAGCAAACTAATTCGCGCTTCTTTCTAAAATAACATTTAATTAAAAATTGGATTACATTTTGTCAAGCATTACCACACAGAGAAAGTAAAAAACGATCAGTAATTTAATTATTTCATTAAACATTTGAAAAGAAATGAGATTGGACGTCGTTGTGTTCATTATATATTAGCGTTTAATAACATCAACAACAACGCATTAAATGAGCGAAAAATCAAAAGCAATGCACAAACTAACAATGTTATTCTTCATTGTCACTTGTAAGGCTCCCAAACGAATCAAACGCTTTTCAGCTTCTTCTAGTGAATCTTCATCAGGCGGTGTTGGAAAAGGGAAATTTGCAACCTCAAATACAAGCATAAGCGTTTTTTAGAATATGAAAAGTATTTAATTAAAAAAAGTATTTAATTTAAAGCAACAAGAACCTTAATAATGTTCATAGACTTCAGATGAAGCATAAGTTGATCAACTGGTTTAGACAGTATTTCTGGTGGACTAAATTTCTCGAAATCAGAATAAACCGCTGAGGAGTACAACCTGAAATTCAATTTAGTTGCTTTTGAAGGCAAAAAGAATGTTTTGGATATGCAATAAAAAAATCCTTTCGACAGCAAAAATTTGAGATTAATTCAGCGAGTGTATCAAATTAATTATTCTCTGGAAAACCAAGCAGAAAAAAGCACTTCTTCACTTAATGAAATGTTCAATATTACAAAATCAAGTAAAGAAAACGAAGTCAATATAATTCTCCCAATTTCTGCTACACCATTTTTCAAAAAGATATAAAAGACAACAGAATCACAGTGCATCAGAATAAAGCATAGCAGTCATTTTTCAAAGTTAAATTATTTCAGAACAATAATATAAGTTTAAAATAAATATAAGTTAAAAAATATAAGTTTGAAAATTTAAAAAATATAGGTTTAAAAATGTAAGTTTAAAAAAAATATGTTCAAAAAAAATTTAAAAACATTAAGAGAAAAGGGATTTCAGCAGTAATACCTGTAGACTTCGCCAGGTTGAACACGTCCGGCACGACCAGCTCTCTGATCAGCTGATGCTTGTGAAATCCAACTTACAAGAAATTGAGAAACACCAGTTACCGGGTCATAATGACGTCTTTTTTCTCGACCACTGTCGACAACATATCGCACAGCGGGAATAGTTAGTGATGTTTCTGCTACGTTTGTTGCAATTACACACATTCTGTAAGATGCATAAGCTAACATGCACCAAAACCTTGGCAATTCAAAAAGCAAAAAAAAATGTAACTTAGAATTCACCGACCCGAAGGTTATCTGCATGACAAACAAGATATGTGTAGAAAAGTAACCGGTGTCCATCTGGAGTCGGTTCAAAGATCCGTTGTTGTTTTTTACTGGAAAGCAGAGAATAAAGCGGTAGGCAGAAAAGAGGAAGAGTTGATGAATTTTGTGTGCGTGAAGCTTCAGGACAAAAATTCTGAAGAAAAAATCTGTTTGCACCAATATAAAGTTAAACCGATAAGACAAAGTTGATTAAAATTTCCTCTACTTTATAAAGTTTTTTTAAATTAAATTTTGTAACTTACGACTTCATGTATTTCAGAACCGGAATCGTCACAATCCAAATTATCAGCATCAGCAAACCTATCTTCTGTTAATTCATCTTTCACAGATTTTTCAGTCTTTTTTGATTTATTCGAAACTGTCTTCTTCAATTCCAGTTTATTTCGCTGCAATTTTTCTCTTCCAACTCTCTTTCCTTTTCTTTTACAGCTTTTCTGCCTCAATAATAAAGGAATATTAATATCAGTTTTACATTTTATAGGACTGAATAGATTTTTTGATGTGGTTCTTAATCTTTCTTACAGAATATAGGAAAAATCCAACGAGAATTATCACAGTATTTTTTATTATACAAAAAGATACCTGATTGTATAACGTTCCACAAGCCATTTTAACAAGACCATAACCTGCAATAAACACAAGTTGATCATAACTGATCAAATTATCAAAGTAAATTCTAAGATTAGCTTGGAGGATCACTCGGATTTCTTGTGAAATATTACAAGTAAAACCTCTAATTTTCCAGAAAGAAAAACCAATATCGTCCCAGGTCCTTTTTTTTCATGAATTTCACATATTTTATGAAACGCAGCAGTGAGGTAATTTTCTGGTGTACGTCTTTCAAAATGGACAGATACTGGATATTGCCTTGCATCAATGTTCAATACAGGTGGTAGCGATACAGGAAACAGTCTGAAAGAGATGGTAATCAAAACATAAAATGATGTATTCGATATCCTAAATATTGAAACAAATATGTGAAAGAAAAGTTATAAATGAAAAAATGAAGTGATGCAATCCATGAAGTACCTTTTGTTTCTAAAATCATCTAAACGTAAAGTTGCGCTCATGATAATAAGCTTCAATGGTGAGCCTATACGGACGCGATAAGGTGCTATTCGTGTCAACAAACCAATGAGCACATCGCTGTACATGGATCGTTCATGCGCTTCGTCTGAAAAAAAATCCTTCCGCAAAAAAATGATGTGGAAATCAAAATGAATTAACCAGGAACGAAAAGTTTTCTGCAATTTAAAAAATTTTCCTTTAAACAGCAGCTTACCGATGACAATAACCGAATAAGCTGAAAGCATCACATCTTTCTGCATTTCTTTCATTAAGACGCCATCCGTCATGAACAGAATGGATGTTTCGACTGATCGATTACCTTCATATTTTATCTGAAGCAACTAATTCTACTAATTTCACCAAAATGAGATATTTAAAACTATCTATCATGCTTCTATTAAAAAGTAAATGTACTTTACCAGAATGAAGTTTCTTTAATTTATAGAAAACTTTAACCTGTGAATACATAAGAAACCTACTATTTGTCACAGCATCTTGAAATACAAGAATTTGTTACAGCATTTTGAAATACTCATAATTCAACAGCGGTCAACAATATCTCAAACAAATCCAATTTTAATTCTTCTTAAATTTAGCAAACTATTTGATGTAATACAAATAAACTTGTAAATTATACCTGATATGAGACTGCATTTGGTAGATTCATTTCTTGTGCTACACGTGCTGCCATGCTTATAGCAGCCATGCGTCGAGGCTCAGTTATTCCTATCAATTTACCGTCATGGGCATAACCAGCTTCATATAAAAACTGAGGCAATTGTGTTGTTTTTCCAGAACCGGTTTCACCGTAAATTATCGTTGCCTGAACTAGTGAAGAAATTGCAAACTTTCTATTCTTGTGAATTGTCAAACAAATAAGAAATATGTAAGAGATAAATTACCCTTGCATTTTGGAATTTTTATCATTTTTCTGCCAACTTCCTAATCATTTTATTAATCGGTGCCATTTTAATTATCCCCAATCTTTATTGCATAATAATGACAAACATACGCAATTATCATTTATAGCTTCCATGATATTCTGTTCTTCAGCATATATAGGCAACTTTGACCGTTGTGCTTCAATATTTTCGCTGCGATGAACAGGGACAAATTTGCTTTTCTGTGTATCTTTTAATATCGAAATTTTGTTCCTGACGGATGATATTTTAACTGGTAGATTTGCAACATCGAGCTCCGAAGTACCTGGTTCTATAAGTTTTAACTTCGAAGATGAGTCACAAATTTTAAATTTCATAAACGTGCTAAAAAGCGAGTATTAAAATAAGGTTGAATTTAAAGAAAGAAAAACGCACCCAATAAATGCACTTCATTACATTTGATCTTTATTTTGCTCTCATTTGTATTTTGGCTCGTCGAGTTTTTTTGTCTTCTATCTGTACTGTCCTCAAGTTGTTTTTCTCTCACGTCGTTGTCGCCTAGGACGCATTTAGATGATTCGGTGTTCATTGATATTACCTAAAGAATTCAACTGCTAAAATAGGACAGTGTCTTCACAAACTCATTTCTAACATTTCTAGTATGGTTATGCTACACAACAAAATATTATGTAATTTTGAGAAAATAAAAGACCACTATGATCAATTCCATAAAAGGAAACTTTTTCTGTAAGCGAAATATCGTCTTCACTTTCACTTCCAGTCTCATAATAATTTTCCTGTACTGGTTCCTTCTTCACCGGCAAGGAGATACATTTACGGCCAGCTAGATTTGACAACTTTTTTGGGACGAAATCTTCTGATCTAAAAGTTAAGAAATTTTTCGCTAAAAGAAAATATATAAATAAGATGCGGTACTTCGAAATTTAAAAAAAGAACGGTTTGGCCTCCACAACTTTATTGGATTAGTCAGCCTTTAATTTCTTTTGGCCAAAAAAGAATAGAAACGATGAAATTTAAAAAAGTTTAATACTTTACAGGCTTCCTTGGATGAACTTCTGCTGTGAGTTTGCTCAATGTTCCGGTGGGTAATTGATACTGCATCAAATTTTCCAGGAGTGATTCCCTCTGTAAATATAAAATTAAATTAGCAATATTTTTTAAGTGGGCAAGAACTAGGAACTTCCTTTGTTGTTAAATGAGAAAATTTTTTAATAAAATGGAATTAGCAAAAAAAATTAAAAAAATGGTTTAAATATTAACAGCTTCCCCTCAAAAATCATAAGCAATTTTTCTGGATTTACGTCATAACAACAGTAAATTCTCACCGACTCTTTCTTTTTCTTTCTCTCCATTATTTTCATCAGCTTCTTCCGTTTAGCTTTAGATATTTTAGCTTCCGTTTGCTCCAATCGTCTTTTCCTAGCTTCATTCTTCTTCCGGTTGATCACTTTATCGTCTGCTTTCTTTGCTTTTTTCTTCTTAAATAAACAAAGGAAACTTGGCGCACTTACTGGATGAAACTGTGAAAATGACAAAGGCATAAGCTTAAAAAATAATCTGTCGACTGTTTCACTTAAATTAAACTCAAGTTTGCTGATTTTCAAAACAAAAATTTAACTTACTTTCGTCTTCACTGGCAATATAAGAGCATTAGTTGTATCAACCGGATTGTTATAATCATCTGAGGTCATTTCGGTTTGTACTAAACTAACGCACACATTTTCAGCTGCGCATTGCGTGACTTTCCTCTTCATCTTTGCAACAGTATCGAACAAATTTAATAAGCACAAAGAACCAATTAAATATACTAAATATTCGAAATGCTATTAACCAGAAATACCATCTCTAATTGATGACGTGAATCAGTATGTGGCAACTTATGAATCAACGAAGACGGATCATCAGCAGAATAATCCTACTTGAACATGCCAACATAAAACGGAAGAGTAATTTAGATCCAAAGTGAAGCATAAAAGTCTCGGAAACAGAGAGTGGAAATACCGCACTGCGGTTAATCTAAACCAGTAGCTTATTTCGGAGTTTCCGACAATCGAGATGATGGGTGAATTAGGCTTAACCTTCTATGTAAGACCTACCAAATCAATCCGATATGTATGGGTATAGCAAACTTAAGCAGCGATAGATTAAGCACGGTGAACTGAGTGTAAAAGAACTGAATTGAACGTGTAAGTATATAGAAATCTGAACAATGGTAAGCTAAAGCAGTATGTGTCCCTTTTCCAGAAGATTTATATGAAAGAAAAATTTGAACAGAAATGATCTTAAAAATTTGGACTTCTTACACCACTCTGTAGCAGAGTAATGGGTTACTCCGACGTGAAAGTAAAGTTAGAACGATACACGTAATTGATGCTAATAGCATTGTGCAATGCTGAAATTCCTCCAGTTGAAATGAAATACGTTGAAACTTAAATCTCATTGAAATTCTCAATTTGAACAAATTTTTCAATCACTATCGCAACCAATACATTCCGTCGTATTTATTCTATCCTTTTGAACTTAGCAAAATCTCCATCAAATTTATCGAATTTCATTAAATTTGCAAAAATTTTTTGGTGATACGATATATGAAATACACTTCCCATAAGGCTATACTATATGCTATACTGCACTATACATACTATACGTTATATTTCTCAATTTTTTTTGTCTAATTATATTATAGCTTGAATTTTTTCACATACTATTCATCATAAATATAAAAGTATTTAAGAAAAAAAATTCAAATTATTTTAAATTTCATATATATATATATACATTAAAGTATGCATATATATTAAAGTTTGTATTATATTCATTCTCTTCCCACCTTTCCTCTTTCATATTTTTTTTCATTCTTTTTCTATTATCTTTCATATTATTCCAAATCATTTTTCTCACTTTCTTAGTTACTAAAAAAAAATTAAACAAAAATTTGAAATTATTTTAAAATCTGATATTTATTTCTATTCTTATCACATTCATTCTCTCTCTTTCCCCTTTTGTTGTCCATCTATTTTCTCGTTCATATCCCTTCCTCAATCTTTTTCCCTCTATCTCTTTCTCTCTATACTCATTCATTCTTTCCGTCTTTATTGATGTTTACAAAAATGGTAATTGATTAATTCTATCAACCGTTTGTTTTATTTCAATCAATTATTTATATTTAAAGAAATGAAATAATGAGATGAGAGAGCGAGAGCAGAGGACCGGTAATTCTTGAATCAATTTAAATCTTTAGAAAAGTGAGATCATCGATTGGGTAGAGCGATAGTATTCTATTCTTTTCACTCTTGACCTTTCCCTCACTCACACATCAAAGTGCACGTTAAGGTCATCGATGTGTTACACTTTGAGTGAATGATTCTCTCCTCATTTCCATTCCTTTGAAAGCGTTCTAACCGAGTTTGTGTATGTGTGTGTGTGTGTGTGTGTGTGTGTGTGTGTGTGTGTGTGTGTGTGTATCGAATGTAGGTAACGATATATATTTATGTATGAGTACACGTATGTTTATGATGTGTCACGTATATTGTCAGGTGTATTTACTTGTAGCACATGTGAATATGTAGATTGATGTGTGTATGTCTTATATGTAAATACGTGGTACTACGTTTGTATTATATCCATCTGGGATTTATGAATGTCTCGTGTGGTATGTATGTAAATTTCAAGACTTGGTTAAAGTTTTATGAAAAATTTGGACTTTATTTGAAGTTTTCAGAACGAGTCATTTAATAAGGTTCCTTGTCATTTAGTAATGATTAATTTTTCATCCCAATATTATTGCAATGTTGAGGTGAATAGCATGCATTATATATCAAAATTATTTGCTTACTATTATCATAAATGAATTGAAAGGGGTAGGAATCTTTGAACTTCTCGAATGTTCCTATTCTCATCTCATTTTTATAGAAAAAGCCATTTTCGGAAATGTGGAGAATAAAAAAAAATCAAAGAATGAGAGAGGTTGAGAGAGGAAAAAATGAGTTAATGTTAATTAAAATTTCGTTTATTAGTAATTGTTGAATTTTCCATGTGTTAATTATTACAGTTGATTGATGGTTAAACATTAAAGAGATTTCTCATGTTGATATTAAAAGATACCTATTCTAGATTCTAATGTTACATATATTTTAGCGAAGATGTTGCTTCAATTCAAGAATGCTGCATTCTGCCGTGCATTATCTCAAAATGTTCAGGTAACCATTCATTTATTCAATTGTTGAAGAAAAATGGTGGGAAACTGATATTTGGCTAAAAAAAGCTTGATTAAAACATTCAATTAAGGATGAATAACTCTTGCTAATTTTCATTTACTGTATTTGGTAACAATCAGTATTTATATGAGAAATCATTCGTCACTTATTTGACTTATTCCTGAAGGTTGCAAATATAGCTGGATGTATACACAAGTCAGGTCTATGTGAAAAGAAAATTAAATTTGGTAGCTAAAAAGATGGTACAGCATACAATACTTTCAGTGTCAGTGAGATTATTAGGATTACTCGGAACTTTAGAGAAATAACAATAGGAGGATGGGAGCATATTTCATTCTATCTTCAGGTCTTACGATTCCTAAAGACCAGTGTTTCCCAACAATCTGTCAAAACTCCAATTCAAGAATGGGGTTGGGATTATCTCTTGCGACAGCGAGCTTTGAAACGACCCATCAGTCCACACCTTACTGTATACAAACCACAGGTTACATGGATGGTTTCCGGTTTTCATCGTATGACAGGATGTGCTATGGCTGGTGAATGTTTTTTTTTTTTTAGAAAGTGTTGGATTTTGATCAGTAAGGATGTTGTTAGGTGGAAATGGAATGTTAAAAAGTCAGTATAAAAATAACTGAAATATAATTCAGTGAGAAGTATTAATCATAAAAAATCTCGATCATATTTCAGGCACTTTGTTGATTGGTGGTGTTGGTTTTGCTCTGCTACCGTTAAACTTCACTACATTCATTGAGTTCATTCGTGGTCTTGGGTTACCATGGGTTATAACCGACATGTTTAAATTTATCATTGCTTATCCAATTGTTTTTCATTCGTTGAACGGTATTCGATTCATTGCATTTGATTTGGCTATCGGGACGGACATTGCTTCCGTATATACAAGCGGTTATTTGGTTCTTTCGTTAGCGGCACTGATTACATTAGCAGTTGTGATAGCACCTCGACTGAAGAAAGATTATGTTGTTGTTGATATACCGAAGATATGAATATTATTTATTTAATTTTCGGCCTCGAGATTACTGGAACTGGATATAAAAATTCATCTTAAATATATTAAAAATTACACTTTTTTTTTGCTAGCTGATTGATATTGTTTGGTTTTTGTATTGTGCAATTTACTAACTATAACTCTAGAATATCCTGACAATCCGAGCTTTTTTTTTGAGAGGCGAATGGGATTTGCAAAATCGGCTTATGTAAACATGATCGTAATAATGTATCGTATCACTATATATTCATAGTTTTATCGCGTTTTTACGTTATTTCGTCACGCGGTTCTTTGTAATTACTAATTGTAAATGAAGAATAAATAGATTTTTAGGCATGTTTATCGGTAATTCAATCGCTTCGAAATATGACAAATATGATGAACATAAGAATCAGTGGTTGGGATACTACAATGAGATGTATTGTGTACAAGTAAGTGGCATCTATGTTTTGTTACATTGGTAAAAGGAAAAAATCGATTTAATATTTAAATATGTTTTTATTTTTAATTTTTTCAATAAAAATTTGAGGGAGAGTTAAGAGATCGCTGTGGTACCCAAACAATCAGCTTTCACATTATTCAGGAACGTTAAAACCCATTACACGCCTGGTATATTTATATTTTTGGGAACTTCGAAAGCTAAGATCTAAATACTTAGTTTAATTTTATCCTGAAATGTTACCCATCTTTGACTGTCATATTATAGGCTTAAAGGATCTTGATTTGTTATGGAAGATATAGAAGATATATAATTTCTAACATTATTCCCTTACTAATTTGCAGGATTTTGTAGCTGATTATATTCAGTACCGAATTCGCATACACGGAAATTACGGAATACCAAAGTTTATACATCCATGTAGACAAGGTTCCGAAAATGATTTGATTCGTTCTGTGGCTTTAATTTTTGAGGAGAAACATGAAGAAGAGCTCCGGAAAATGATAGAAATGTTATGCGAGAACAAAACCTTTTCACTTAGTCAGTATGTTGAAGTGAGTAACAAAACACATCTTCCACTCATTTTGTACAAGTAATATTACTGATACTGCTAAAATACGACTACGTTTTGCAATTAATATTAACTGAACTTTGGAATTTTTACTAACCGTCTGAAGCAATGGTGATAGTTATGTAAAGCGAAATTAACGAGACTTTTACAACATCTTTTTCAGATTATGGAGCACTTCGTTTGCATTCAAAATGAAACACCATCACAAATGTCTTACGGACGCTTGATAGCACTAATCGCTTTCGCTGGGTTGATTGCTAAGCAGTTAAGCGACATGAAATGTTTCGCAGAAGTTTCAATGGTTATGTCATACACTTCAAAATTTTTGCAAAAAAGAATTTCCGTAACATGGCCACATCACAAGCGCTCTTGGGTTAGTTTACACTATAATATAATATATTTTTCGATTTTAACTGAAGCAGTTTCATATTTAACGTATGACAAAGATATAGTTGTTGCTTGAAAAAAAATGAGGATCTGTATCAATAAGATTGAGTGAGTGGTAAAGAGTGAGTATTTGATTTCACAAGAACCCTCTGTTATTTATAAATATAATGATAAATGATTATCATTACGTAACCTGGTTGTGGCATAAGTGTTAATCTAAGAAAATGCTTAAGGAAGAGAACATGCTGTGTTAATTTCGGAAAGAATGTTTAAGGATTCAGATTATATTTCTGGAAGGTTCTCTATATAATGGAAGTTTAGAGTTCGTAATATGTTTCCTGTATCACTGAAAATGATGAAAGTTTGTACGTTGAACTTTGTTGAAAGCAATAACGAAGAGATTAGAAGTCGGTAATCATTATTCTTTTACCTTATTTAAAGTTTGCATTAAATTCCAGAGCAAATTCTTTGATCTTGCAAGGACGATAATCATATTAAACAAAAAAGAAGCAGAACCAAAAGTAGAGAAGAAGGAATGGCGGTCAGCAATTAGCCGATTAGCTGTTTTTGGTGTTCTAAGTCTTGCCGTTTTCACATTATTTAAATTCATGCTTAGAGCACGATAATTTGTTTGTTGTTCATTAGTTTTTATAAATTTACAGGAGTTAGAGTCATCATTATTCTTATATGATCTCCTTATGCACTTTTTCGAAACGATATATCTCGCTGTATTTACTTCATGTCTCCGGAAAATAAGTAAAAGAAGGGATGGGAAGCGAAATTCTTGCAACTATTCTTATGTGCTATATAACCTCTAAGTACAAAATAGTTCCCATATAGGAAATTAGTACTGGAAAGATACCACGTGATGAATCAAGCGGTTGAAATTATCGTTTTGACGTTGGAATGACTAATTCCTGAAATATCTTTCTCAATGTTTCAAGTTTTTGCCTTTTTCTATCATGCAAATCGTTTCTGCTCATGTTATTTCTTCTTTGAATCATAAATTTTCAGATTATGTACGTATTATAATACATATTGATATTTATTTTTGGCACTATGGATTTCAGAAATCAATCTTTCGGGGTCAGTTAAATTTTCTGATTCAATTTTGTGGACAGTATCGAAAAAAAGTATGACCAAATAACATTGTAGAATGATGTAATAATCTGTTTTTAGGAGCTTTCAACTCTTTTTTTATTAATTTGTTTTCATTATAAGTTTTTAGACTCTTGCAAATAATCATTGATTTTTTTTCTTGTTAGATTAGCCGAACTTTTCGAATTTTTGTTGGTGTTACTGTCATATGCTGTGAATAGTAATGCACTTTCCATTTTAATAGATCTTGTTGATTTGCACCAAATTCATTTTCACTTATACGATGTTCATTTATACGGGATAACGTGTTCTAACTCAAGACATGTTCTAACTTTATTTACTAGCTTTATTTAATAATATGAGACATTCACATTGATATCGCAATCGCAACTGTCCTGCCACTTTTGTATCTTTGTTCATTCATCTTGTACATTCCGAAAATAAAGTTTATCAAATTCCATTACTTTTGCTGAAAAAGGCAATGGCTTATGATCCAGAAAGTTCGGACATTTTGCTAATGTAAAATTTGTGAATGAAGATGAATACATCCAGTTTGAGTTTTAGCTAATCTTGTTTGCATTATTTTAGTAATGGTTTCGGAATTTACATCATAACTCTAGAAAGTATGAGATGAGATATACGAAAGGTGTAAGTCAAAATATGGCGTGGTGAAATGCATGAGTGTTAAGGTTGTGGAGACACGTTTTGCGGTATTTGGAGCAGACGTGGAAATCTATTGTTTGTTCGAGCTTTACATTCTTAACACAATTACAACGAAAAACTTATTTTTGAAGAAATGAGTGTCACTGATGTGTCGAGAAATAAACAATGTTGTGACGATGCAGTCAATGAATCAGTAGATTTTCTGAAAGGAGTTAATATCATACAGGTTCAAATTTTGCACGAATCAATTTATTTTTTAATGGAAAATCGAGAATTCGGTTAAAAATACAGATCAAAATGCTGAAATTCAGAAGAGATATGAGTGGGGAATGTTCCATTAGGTAACAAAATATAGCTTATGTAATAAGCAAATAATATATATCATAATGTTGAACTTCTGGTTTTGGTTATAACTCTTGAGTGCTTGAAACAAAAAATTGAAATATACGTAGGGATTGGTTTGTCATTTAGTGGGCCTAGTAAGATTTTTATTTCCATTTTAAACATCATTAAATGAAAGTTCTTCCATTTTTTTTCTCTTTTTAATCTGTTAAATAGTATATCACATTTGATTTCCTTAGTTATACTTCCGTATCACGATATATATTCTTTTTTAATTTGAACATTCACTTCTGAATATACAGAGTTACGTCACTGATTATATCCGATATCGTGTGCATTTACAAAACGGCTATTGTCCATGTTTGCCAGAAATCCCAAGTTCAGATGATTATCGATTTGAGTTAATTCGAGCAGTTGCCTTAATTTTTGAACAAAAACATTCGGAGGAGCTTACGAATATGGTTACAGCGTTATGCATTCATGGAAGGCTTACATTTCAACGATATGTTAAGGTCAACAAATTCATGATATTTATATTTTTTGAAAGACAAATATTAGTTTGCTTAAATATTAAATTATTTGTGTTAGTCATTTAGCACACTGGCTTTAATTTTTATGCGGTGATCAATTTCAGTTGGTTGTGAATAATTACGAAGTCGGCAACTTTGCTACTTACATGTGTAGCAATTATTTTATTCAAGAAAAGCGACTTTATGATTACCAACTTAGGCTTTTTTACCAGGACATACATACTCTTGCATTTTTATTCTGTTTGCCATACAAATCTGTTGGCAATACGAGACATCATTGTATTCGAGAAATACTACCCATTTAGCTACTGTCCTTATTTGCTGATATTGGTACAGTTTTATAATTTAGGCCAGTAAATATTTGTTATTGTAGGTTGTGGAATGTTTTGCGCAAAATAATGATGATGATGAGCGAGATGAACAACTATCTTATGGACGGTTGGTGGCATTGATTGCATTTGCTGGATTAGTTGCAATAAAACTTTGTGACATGGGGATGTTTCCGGATGTTTCAATGATTGCATCCTACACGTCCAAATTTTTGCATAAGCAGGTCGTTTTAACATGGCCACAGAATAAACGTTCTTGGGTATGTGATTAAACTGATTTTTTTCTTTAAATATTTAAAAAATTATTTTTTCAGGTTTTTTTTCTTGAAGCAGTATATGGTAATTCATTTCATTTTAATTATCAAAGCAAAATTTGAAAATGAATCGAACAGAAATCTATAATTATTACTAGTTCTATTGTAAAAGTCTGCAAAATTTTCAAAATAAGCTGGAGTGGAAATTTCTGAAATTACAATGACGTGGAACATTCTAAAGTATTGAAGAATATCTATTAGGCAGAACTTAGAACCATAATTTCCTTAGAAACGAAATAAGTGCTCGACATGACTGCTTGATCTTCAGTATTATGTAGCACATTTCATCGAATATTCTAAACTCCCCTTTTTGGCTAACTTTTTTTTCACTTGAGATCTAGCGATATTTTTGTTTTATGTACTTACATCTGAATTATATGAAACAAAATATGACAAGGTGAAATTTTGGTAAATTGCGATGATAATTATAAATATTCATAATACATTTATTGAAACAGTTCACAGACCCGGTTTTATATTGATTTATTCGCGAAATTGTCACATAATAATGATTTATAATTTTTAATTATCATGTTCGGTTTTCTTAACTTTAACTAATTTAATTTCAAAAGTGGTGTTTCATTTAAATTCATTCCTTCTACTAATTTCAGGAAAGCTTCTTCGATCGCGCGAAAATGATAATTGATAGGAATGAAACTGAAGAGAATGAACAATTCAACTTAAAATCGGAGTATAGTCGGTGGTGGTTATCAATTAGAGCGTTGGTGATATTCAGCATGCTTGGTATTGGTGCTTTCACGTTAATTAAGGCAATGCTGAGAGCACGATAATCTATAATCGCATTAAGATATTTGGTATTTAGAGTATATTATTACTGCTCTGGTTAAAACAGTTGCTATATTCTGCGAAAGAAAGTATAAAAACTAGAAAAGTGCATGAAAGTGTGTGGAGAATATGACGAATAATACTGACAAGTTCTTATCTCTTCATAAGTTGATGAAAAAGAATTTTCCATTGGTGGTATTAATATTAATTACCAATTTGAAGTCCGCAGATTATGTGGATAAACTTGCGATAATATTGTAATTTAAAAAACTTCATACAATAATGCAATTAAGACCTTTGATAACAATCACTATAACTATTAAACTACGAATTATTCGAGATGAGACTTTGTTGTTATTTTTTCATGGTCCTTCTGGTACCTGTTATCGACTTCTTCATAATTTCCTTTCATTCTCCATATTTCAAGCTATTCCTGTCAACAGATATACGTTTATCGATTACCTGTTCATCATGCTTTATTTATTTCGCATAGAGATGCATGATCTCAGTGTTCATTCCATGCTATCATACGTATTTTAGCAAAATGTTTGCTTATTTGAGGTTTTCTGAAAACTGTTTAAGAGCTGCATAATTAGCAACATTTTGGAGATAATTCTATTTTTCAGCCAAAAATTTTTTTCTGATGGTTCGTGTTTTGTTTTGTCATATCCAAATTTTCTATTATTAGAAATGAGGAATGAATTTATTGGTTTAGTTGTTATCATAATTTTCTCTTTCCAATTCTTCCAGCCTAATAAATTCCTTTCCGCCTTTCTTGATCATAATTCACTTCATGTTATTATATGTCTAATTTTATTTTCGTAAATTTTTTTTTTTTTGTAATCACCAATTTTTTTGTGTAGGGTATACTTCAGTTGAATTTCCCAAAGTAAACCACCAAAAATCTCGTTGATACCACATGATAAGTGGAACTGATTGATGGTTTAAACATTTTTTTCAATTTTATCATTCCTTGTTTAATACCACCATTCTTTTTAGTAAATAACTTGTATACACTTGAAAAATAAACTGTTTTACGAATTTCTTTTCTTTTTTCCATGCAATTCTGGAAATGTTTGGTTTATCATCCAGAAAAAAGTTTATGCATTTCAAGATCGACAATGTTGATATAGGATTATGTTCATATAAAAATTTTCTCGGCACCTATCAAGTACTACGAGTTCTGAAATGTGTGTGGCATGAGATCGTTGGACAGCTTCTTGAAATTACTGACATCGAAATCTTATACTTCAACTTCTGAAGACGGGGAAATTTGTTGAGGTGGCGTTTGCGATTTGCAGAATGAAAAATATTTACGCATTTGGAAAACTTGGTATTCGAGAATGTATTAAATATCAAAAACGTACGTTCATCCATCGGTGGAGCAAATTTATACGATGGCAGGAGTTGGTAGCGGAAGAAATGGAGGAGAAGAAAATTGAAAAATCTATCAAGAATT